TAAAGGGACATAAATTAGGTTACTTATATTAAAAATAATTATGTGCAAATATTGTACAACCCAGGTGTGCACAGCTCTTAGAGACTTACCCAGGAAAGACTCACAGCTGTAATCGTTGCCAAAGGTGATTCTAACATGTATTGACTCAGGGATGTGAATACTTATGCAAATTAGATATTTCAGTGTTTCATTTTCAATACATTTGCACAAAAAAATAAAAAAATGTTTTCACTTTGTCATTATGGGGTATTGTGTGTAGATGGGTGAGAAAAAACTCAATTTATTCCATTTTGAATTCAGGCTGTAACACAACAAAATGTGGAGTAAGTCAAGGGGTATGAATACTTTCTGAAGGCATAGAGAGAGTACACAGTAGTCTACACTATTGGTATTTTGCATTATTTTCATTGCCTATTGACATCCATTTTAGGGATATGACTAGACTGCCACCCTATGGACTGTAAAACAACAAAACGTGGGAATAAGTCAAGGGGTATGAATACTTTTCTGTAGTTACTGTTTAGCTGGAATGGATGATTCTTATCCAGTATATATTTGACTGTGATATGTGGTTGTCCCACCTAGCTATCTTAAGATGAATAACTGTATGTCACTCTAGACAAGAGCATCTGTTAAATGACTCAAATGTCAAATGTAAATGTTTTACATACAGATCTCATATTACTGTATTGAATTATTTAAAAAAATGTAATACAAAAATATATTGATGTCACAAATGTCTCATTTGTACAGTGAAGCTGATACTGTATATAACATTTTGCCCCCAAAAAAAACATGATTTTTGTCTCTCTGAAATGAAACCATCAAGTGATAGATTTTAATACACAAATACATGTCTGTCATTGAACAACCCCAATGCCATGATTAGATAGTGAAAAAACACACCAATCTCTTTCATAATTTATCTTAAACAATAAAAGCTAATTTACCAACATTTTTGAAAATGTATATATAGCATTTTTGGAATTATACTTCTTCATGATAAAGGATAATTAATTAATTAATCTTCATTGTGGATGCTACCATGATAACGGATAATCATGAATTAATCGTGAATATTGATGAGTGAGAAAATTACAGAGGCATAAATATCATACCACCCCCAAAATGCTAACCTCCCCTGTTATTGTAATGGTGAAAGGTTAGCATGTCTTGGGGGTAAGATATTTGTGCGTCTTGTAACTTTCTCACTCATCATTATTCGCGATTAATTCATGAATATCTGTAATCATGATAGCATCCACATTAATTTAGAAGTATTCAGAAACATATTATATCCTTATTTAGAATAAAATGACTCCAAAATTACATAATACATAATTACCATTAATTTTATTGGGCACAACATAAGCTGAAACTATCAAAGCAAAAAGCAAATACCTCCACCAGTTTGTAGAGTCACCAGCTGGATGAAGTCATGGCTTGCAGTAACATGGGACCAGATACCACAGTTTTCACTACTTTAATAGTGCAGTCGGAAAGTATTCAGACCCCTTGTCTTTTTCCTCATTTTGTTACGTTACTGCCTTATTCTAAAATTGATTAAATTGTTTTTTTTTCACTCATCAATCTATACACAGTACCCCATAATGACAAAGCAAAAATGGAAATATCACATTTACATAAGTATTCAGACCCTTTACTCAGTACTTTGTTGAAGCACCTTTGGCAGCGATTACAGCCTCGAGTCTTTCTCCCATTCTTCTCTGCAGATCCTCTCAACCTCTGTCACGTTGGATGGGGAGCGTCTTTTCAGGTCTCTCCAGAGATGTTAGATTGGGTTCAAGTCCGGGCCACTTAAGGACATTCAGAGACGTGTCCCGAAGCCACTCCTGCGTTGTCTTGGCTGTGTGCTTAGGATCGTTGTCCTGTTGGAAGGTGAAACTTTGCCCCAGTCTGAGATCCGGAGCGCTCTGGAGCAGGTTTTCATCAAGGATCTCTCTGTTGATGACTTCAGAGGCTTGACTTCAGGACAGGACAGGACAGGGGTTGATGTCTTCAGAGGCTTGACTTCAGGACAGGGACAGAGGTTGATGTCTTCAGAGGCTTGACACCAGGACAGGACAGACAGGGGTTGATGTCTTCAGAGGCTTGACAACCAGGACAGGACAGGTTGATGTCTTCAAAGGGTTGTGTCTTCAAGGGTTACACCAGGACAGGGGCGGGGGTTATTCTTTTAGAGGCTTGACTTTTGGACAGGGCAAAAAGGGGTTTTTATGTTTCAAGGGTTGCTTTAGGACGGACAGGACAGGGTTGATGTTTCAGAGGCTTTACTTCGGACAGGACATGTTATGTCTTCAAAGGCTTTTCTTAGGGCGGCAGGCGGGGGTTATGTCTTCAAGGGCTTGGGCATCAGGCCGGGGCGGGGGGTGCTTCAAAACTTGACTTCAGGACGGACAACAACGGGGGTTTGTTTTTTCAAGGCTTACTTCAGGGACGGACGGACAACGGGTTGATGTCTTAGAAAGGGGTTACTTCAACAACAAAAGGACATTATTCTTCGAGGCTTTACTTTCAGGGCAGGACGGACAGGACAGGGTTGATGTCTTCAAGGGTGACTTCAACAGGAAAAGGACGACAGGGTTGTGTCTTCAGAGGGCTTGACATCAGGGCGGAAGGGTTGAGTCCAAAAGGGTTACTTCAGGACAGGGCAGGACAGGAAAGGGGTTTATTCTTCAGAGGCTTGCTTTCCGGACAGGACAGGGCGGGGTTGATGTCCCAGAGGGTTTCTTCAGGGCGGGCAGACAGGACGGGGGTTTATGCTTCAGGGCTGGACTTCAGACAGGACGGACAGCGGGTTGTTTCTTTAAGGCTTTCTTTAGGGCAGGACAAGGACGGGGGTTTATGTCTTCAAGGCTTTTACCTCGAAAAACAGGGGTTGATGTCTTCAAAGGGGTGACTTCGGCGACGGACAGGAAGGGGGTTTATGCTTAGGGCTTTACTTAGACGGAAGGGCAGGACGGGGTTGATGTCTTCGAGGGTTGACTTCAGCGGACAGGGCAGGGGGTTTATGTCTTCAAGGCTTACTTCAGGCAGGACGGACGGGCGGGGTTGATTTCTTCAAGGCTTTACTTCGGACCGGACAGGGGCGGGTTGAAATTTTTCAAGGGTTTACTTCAGACAGACGGACAGGACGGGGTTTTTGTCTTCAAGGGTTGACTTCAACAGGGCGACGGACGGGGGTTTATTCTTCAAGGCTTGACTTCAGACAAAAGGACGGGCAGGGTTGATTCTTTAAAACTTTACTTCGGGCGGACAGGACGGACAGGGGTTTTTTCTTCAGAGGCTTGACTTCGACGGACGGGCCGTGGTGGAGGTTTGGAAAAAGGGTCATCTCTTCCCTGGGGCGGCAGGATTTACTGGGAACCCAAAAAACATAACCGCACGTTAACAAAATAGCCAGAATGTACGACACCAACGGGGAGTAAAATCTCATTGATGTGTGTAAGTGATTTTGTTAGTGAATTTTTATTGCTGTTCACAATAAATGAAAAATTGCGGCTCTCACATTGCTTTGGGGAGAAAAAGTTCAATGTCCGTGGTGAGGGGACATGGGCATGGGTTCATTCAGTCAGGGGGAGTTTTACAGTGGTTTGGGTTTGGTCATCACCTCTTAATCAGGAACAGGAGGGGGGCTTTCCGTAAACCAAACCAGAGACATGGATTACACATTAACAAACTGAAAATTATCTATCTCAACCCATAAAGAAGAGGGCTTTTATTCTTCAGGGGGGAGGGGAAACCAGGGAAAGGGGTTTTAGTTCTTCAGGGGCAAACCGGGGGAAAAGGGCTTTATTTTTTCGGGGGGAGAGCCAGGGGAAGAGGGCTTATTTTCGGGGTAAGGAGAAGGGGAGGGCTAGTTTTTCAGGGGTAGGAGACCGGGGAAGGGGCTTTTTTTCTCAGGGGGTAGGAGGACCAGGGAAAAGGGCTTCAGTTCTTTTGGGTGGGGACCAGGGGGGGAAAAGGGGCCCTTTTAGTTCTTCAGGGGGGAGAGACCAGGGGGAAAAGGGCTTCATTTTTTCAGGGGGGGAGGAAAGGGGGCCAGGGAAAAAGGGTTCATTTTTCAGGGGAGGGGACCGGGGAAGAGGGCTTTTATTCTTCAGGGGCAGGAGACCAGGGGAAGAGGGCTTCAGTTCTTCAGGGGGCAGGAGACCAGGGGAAGAGGGCTTCAGTTCTTCAGGGGCAGGAACCAGGGGGGGAAGGCTTTTATTTTTCAAAGGGGAGGGGACCAGGGGGGGAGGCTTTGCTTCGGGGTAGGAGCCAGGGAAAAGGGCTTTTAGTTCTTCGGGGGGGGAGCCAGGGGGAAGGGGTTTATTCTTTTAGGGGGCAGGAACCGGGAAGAGGGGTTCATTCTTCAGGGGAGGGAAACCGGGGAAAGGGCTTTAGTTCTTCAGGGGGTAGGAACCAGGGAAGAGGGGTTCATTTTTTCAGGGGGGAGGAGACCGGGGAAGGGCTTCGTTCTTTAGGGGGGGGAGACCAGGGAAAGGGGTTCATTCTTTGGGGGGGGAACCAGGGGGAAAGGGCTTTAGTTCTTCAGGGGGAGGAGACCAGGGAGAGGCTTCAGTTCTTCAGGGGGTAGGAGACCAGGGGAAGAGGGCTTCAGTTCTTCAGGGGGTAGGAGACCAGGGGAAGAGGGCTTCAGTTCTTCAGGGGGTAGGAGACCAGGGGAAGAGGGCTTCAGTTCTTCAGGGGGTAGGAGACCAGGGGAAGAGGGCTTCAGTTTTTCGGGGGGGGAGACCAGGGGGAAAAGGGCTTTAGTTCTTCGGGGGAGGGGACCAGGGAAAGGGGTTTTTAATTCTTCAGGGCAGGAGACCAGGGGGAAAAGGGGTTCATTCTTCAGGGGGGGAGGGAAACCCGGGGAAGAGGGCTTCATTCTTCAGGGGGGGAGGGGACCAGGGGAAAGGGTTTTTTTCTTCAGGGGGGAGACCAGGGAAAGGGCTCAGTTCTTCGGGGTAGGGGACCAGGGCTTCATTTAGCTGATGCTGGTGTGTGGTTGGTGTGTGTTGGGGTTGTGTGTTTTTGTGGGTTGTGTGTGGTGTTGTGTGTTGGGTTTTTGTGTGTGTGTTTCATTTAAATCACTGGAGTTAAAAATCCCCTCCCTTCAATCTACCCAGACTTTCCCCCACTTGCAACACACACACACACCACACACACACCCAAACACACACACAACCCCCCCCACACACCACACACACACACACACACACACACCACCCAACCACACACCACACACCAAACACACACACTCTCAGCTACTTTAAGGGCCAGCTGTTTTTGTTTTCTTTCTCCAATTTATTTTGGCCCTCCACCGACTGGGCGTACCAGGGGGCGCAAAACTTCCCCTGTAGACCCCTTGTTTTAGATTTAAAAAACAACAAGATTTTTTGGGCAACCCCCCCCTTTTAGCTCAGTTGCTCAATTTTTTGACCATGCGTTTACAACCAGGTTTCTCCCAACTTTAGTCTCCTCAAATTTTTTCCCTCATTCAAATTTTTAATTCATTTTCCCCCAAAGATTTAAAAAATTTGAAAATTTTTTAAGGGGTTTTTTTTTTTTTCAGTGAAAATTTTGATTTTTTTTTTTTTTTTTTTTTTTCCCAACCCCCCCCCCCCCCCCCCCCCCCCCCCCCCCCCCCCCCCCCCCCCCCCCCCCCCCCCCCCCCCCCCCCCCCCCCCCCCCCCCCCCCCCCCCCCCCCCCCCCCCCCCCCCCCCCCCCCCCCCCCCCCCCCCCCCCCCCCCCCCCCCCCCCCCCTTTTATTTTTTTTTTTTTTTTTTTTTTTTTTTAAAAATTTTTTTTTTTTTTTTTTTTTTTTTTGGCCCCTACCTTTCCTTCCCCCCCCCCCCCCCTCCCCCCCCCCCCCCCCCCCCCCCCCCCCCCCCCCCCCAAAAAAAATTTTTTTTTTTTTTTTTTTTCCCCCCCCCCCCCCCCCCCCCCCCCCCCCGCGCCCCCCCCCCCCCCCTGCTTTCTCCAGTTCTCCTTTAGCTCCTCACTCCTTTCTCAACATCTCTGCCCCTCAAAACCACTCTCTGAAACTGGCTGCCGCTCTTTGTTAAGTGTTGCAGTCATTTCACTTGCTGTGGTAGCTGACATGTATAGTGTTGAGTTGAGTCAGTAGCTCTCTCTTCCCCTCTCTCCTTTCCTCTCCCCTCTGTCCTCCTCTCCCCTCTGTCCTCCACTCCCCTCTGTCCTACTCTCTCCTCTCCTCTCCCCTCTCCCCTCTCTCCTCCTCTCTCTCCTCTCCTCTCTCCTCCCCTCTCTCCTCCCCTCTCCCCTCTCTCCTCCCCTCTCCCCTCTCTCCTCCCCTCTCCCCTCTCTCCTCCCTCTCTCTCCTCTTTCCCTTTCCTCCCCTCTCCCCTCTCTCCTCCCCTCCCCTCTCCCCTCCCCTCCCCTCTCTCCTTTCCTCTCCCCTCTGTCCTCCTCTCCCCTCTATCCTACTCTCTCCTCTCCTCTCCCATCTCTCCTCCCCTCCCCTCTCTCCTCCCCTCTCCCCTCTCTCCTCCTCTCTCCTCCCCTCTCCCCTCTCTCCTCTCTCCTCCCCTCTCCCCTCTCTCCTACTCTCTCTCCTCTTTCCTCCCCTCTCCCCTCTCTCCTCCCCTCTCCCCTCTCTCCTCCCCCTCTCCTCCCCTCTCCTCTCTCTCCTCCCCTCTCCCCTCCGTCCTCCTCTCTCTCCTCTCTCCTCCCCTCTCCCCTCCCCCTCTCTCCTCCTCCTCTCTCCTCTCCACTCCGCCTCTCTCCTCTCCCCTCCCCTCTCCCCTCCTCCTCCCCCTCTCTCCTCCTCTCTCTCCTCCTCTCTCCCTATCTCCTCCCCTCTCCCCAGCTCCTCTCTCCTCCCCTCTCCCCTCTCTCCTCCTCTCTCTCCTCTCTCCTCCCCTCTCCCGCTCTCCTCTCTCCCCTCTCCCTCTCTCTCTCCCCTCCTCTCCCCCTCTCTCCTCCTCTCCACTCTCTCCTCCCCTCTCCCCCCTCCCCTCCCCTCCCCTCTCTCCTCCCCTCATCTCTCCTCCCCTCTCTCCTCTCCCCTGCTCCTCTCTCCTCTCTCCTCCCCATCTCTCCTCTCCTCTCTCCTCCCCTCTCTCTCCTCCCCTCCCCCTTTCCCCTCTCCTCTCCTCTCCCCTCTCTCTTCCCTCTTCCCCTCTCTCCATCCTCCTCCCCTCTCCTCCTCCTCCGCCTCTCCTCCCGCTCCCGCCCCCTCCTCTCTCCTCCCCTCTCTCCTCCCCTTCCCTCTCTCCTCTCTCCTCCCATCTCTCTCCTCCCCTCTCTCCTCCCCTCTCTCCTCCCCTCTCCCGAAGTCCTTATATCTGTTTTTCTCTGCTCCCCTCCTCCACAGTGGATAGCCCTGGCCTCTCTGTTCTTCATCCTGGTGTCCATCTCCACCTTCTGCCTGGAGACCCACGAGTTCTTCAACCCCATCGTGAACCGCACCGAGCTGGAGCTGGTGGATAACGTGACGGTGGAGCATGTCTACCAGGAGACGGAGACGGTGGTCTACCTCACCTACATCGAGGGCGTCTGCGTGGGCTGGTTTACCTTTGAGTTCATGATGCGAGTCATATTCTGTCCGGACAAGATGGAGTTCATGAAGAAAGCTCTCAACGTTATCGACTTCGTGGCTATCTTACCGTTTTACCTGGAGGTCGGGCTGAGCGGGCTGTCGTCTAAAGCGGCTAAGGATGTTTTGGGTTTTCTCAGAGTGGTGAGGTTTGTCAGGATCCTGCGTATCTTCAAGCTGACCCGTCACTTCGTGGGCCTGAGGGTTCTGGGTCACACGTTACGAGCTAGCACCAATGAGTTCCTCCTCCTCATCATCTTCCTCGCCCTGGGAGTTCTCATCTTCGCCACGATGATCTACTACGCCGAACGGATGGGAGCAGACCCGACCGACCCGCGCGCCAGCGAGCACACGCACTTCAAGAACATCCCCATCGGATTCTGGTGGGCCGTTGTTACCATGACGACCCTTGGCTACGGCGACATGTACCCCCAGACGTGGTCGGGCATGCTTGTCGGCGCACTGTGCGCCCTGTCGGGTGTACTGACCATCGCCATGCCCGTCCCCGTGATCGTCAACAACTTTGGAATGTATTACTCTCTGGCTATGGCGAAGCAGAAGCTACCAAAGAAGAAGAACAAGCATATCCCCCGAGCACCCCAACCAGGATCACCCAACTACTGTAAGTCCAGCATCAACTCTCCTCCAACGCCCCATAAAGCACTGCTCCTTCCTGAAAGCCCGAACTTAGTCCACCCCGTTTTGGCTCTGGCTCAAAACATGTCTCTGACACACGACGACGTCTTCGAAGTAAAGTTTCCAGGTAAGGACTCTCTCCTCTCCTCTCCTCTCCTCTCCTCTCCTCTCCTCTCCTCTCCTCTCCTCTCCTCTCCTCTCCTCTCCTCTCCTCTCCTCTCCTCTCCTCTCCTCTCCTCTCCTCTCCTCTCCTCTCCTCTCCTCTCCTCTCCTCTCTACTGCTGTCTCCTCTCCACTGCTCTCTCCTCTCCTCTCCTCTCCTCTCCTCTCCACTGCTCTCTCCTCTCCACTGCTCTCTCCTCTCCTCTCCTCTCCTCTCCTCTCCTCTCCTCTCCTCTCCTCTCCTCTCCTCTCCTCTCCTCTCCTCTCCTCTCCTCTCCTCTCCTCTCCTCTCCTCTCCTCTCCTCTCCTCTCCTCTCCTCTCCTCTCATTTATGTGGTCAACTCTCCTGCAACATCCTGCTGTTCAGCTGTCTCACTGTTTGTCTCTGTTTGTCTCACTGTTTGTTTCACTGTTTGTCTCACTGCTGTCTCACTGTTTGTCTCGCTGCTGTCTCACTGCTGTCTCACTGCTGTCTCACTGCTGTCTCAACTGCTGTCTCACTCTGTCTCCACTGTTTGTCTCACTGTTTGTCTCACTGCTGTCCTCACTGCTGTCTCACTACGGTCTCACTGCTGTCTCACTGCTGTCCATCTCATCACTGTTTGTCCTCACTGTTTTGTCTCACTGTTTGTCTCACTGCTGTCTCAACTGCTGTCTCACTGCTGTCTCACTGCTGTCTCACACTGCTGTCTCACTGTTTGTCCTCACTGCTGTCTCACTGCTGTCTCACTGCTGTCTCGTCTCAACTGCTGTCTCACTGGTTTGTCTCACTGGCCTGTCTCACTGCTGTCTCACTGCTGTCTCACTGCTGTCTCACTGCTGTCTCACTGCTGTCTCACTGTTGTCTCACTGCTGTCTCACTGCTGTCTCACTACTGTCTCACTGCTGTCTCACTGCTGTCTCACTGTTTGTCTCACTGCTGTCTCACTGCTGTCTCACTGCTGTCTCACTGCTGTCTCACTGTTTGTCTCACTGCTGTCTCACTGCTGTCTCACTGCTGTCTCACTGCTGTCTCACTGCTGTCTCACTGCTGTCTCACTGCTGTCCTCACTGCTGTCTCACTGCTGTCTCACTGTTTGTCTCACTGCTGTCTCACTGCTGTCTCACTGCTGTCTCACTGTTTGTCTCACTGCTGTCTCACTGCTGTCTCACTGCTGTCTCACTGTTTGTCTGTAGACGCCCTCCCTCTACTCCCAGTGGCTCAATCAGGTGACTCAGCCACTTTCCGATTAAACAAATGAATCTCTCATTTAAGGATCAATAAGCTGTATGCCTAGCAGCTTGAGATGTAGCCCTCGGGACGTAGCCCATGACTCACTGCCGCCTTCCTAGCACTCTCACAGCCGGTCTGGCGTCTGCATCCGTGTCACCCACACCTCTATAGTAATAATGATGTAATGAGGATGCACAGGATGTGTAAGGGGGCTTACATCAAAGGTCATGTAAAGATATGCAAGGGGATTCTATAAACGAACTACAGGTATGAAGTTAAGTGATTGTTGTCGTTGGGAGTAATTTGGCATCGATAACAGAAATGTTGTTACTTGTGGTAACTATTACAATTTTACTACAAAAGAGTAAGAGCGACTTAGAGTTCAGTGTTATCGTAGGCATTTAAAGTTATATAGCGTCAAGTTAAGTACTGGACATTTAGCAATCGCATGGCACACATTAACTTGCGCTGATCATTTGAATGCAGGCAACTTAACAGGTGCTTACTGAGGTGCTAAGCTGCTACTCGTCAAGTCGAGTGGGTTTGATGTTTTTAAGGCTAACATACTTTTCTCACGTCGACGTCATCCCACGTACCATACTAAAATGCACCCGCCACTACACCCACCAACCATCCGAGGCCAGACACCATCTCCACCACTACTACTACACACACTGTAACGTATCCCACTGTAGCATGCTTCAAATCCTACCGTTGACTGTCCAAAGCAGTGCTATTGTAATTGATTTAGACAGTCGGTAATATTTGATTCGAAGCGTGCAAGGATATGTGCAGTACAGAATGTAGCACTTGACATAAAGCTTTTGTACACCATCTTCTAAGATTTTCAAAGTGGGATAATGAAAGGAGCTACACCAAGAGTTTCTCCCCCATGTCTAAGCTCCATTCAAAACAAATCCCCCCCCCCCCCCCCCGCATCCCATTTCCCTTTAACATGACGGAGACTCACGCTTCCCTTTAACATGACGGAGACTCACGCTTCCCTTTAACATGACGGAGACTCACGCTTCCCTTTAACATGACGGAGACTCACGCTTCCCTTTAACATGACGGAGACTCACGCTTCCCTTTAACATGACGGAGACTCGCGCTTGAGCCTTTTATTTCGGTTTTCCTCCACCAGCTTCAAACAGCTGGCAAAACAATATTTTTTGTTATTCAAAAGATATTTCCCAGCGATTTAGATGGTACAATGATTCTACACTATTCAGTTGTTGTTTTCTCACATAAACTTAATTTGAGCTAACATTGTAGAATTTTTTTTAAGCAGGAAATTACGATTTCTACATTGGTCACTTGACCCGATTTCCACTAGATAACACAGCCACAAAGTCAAAACAGCTTTCCCATTTTGACAACAGGTGCCTCTCCGGTGGGAGAAATCAATAGGCGAAAATCACAGCCAATCACAACACTGGCGGGTAAGTAACACTCTGAAACACTATCATTCCACTATTAATGTAGATATATTATGGACATTTTCTGAAATTGCAATAATAAAAAATAAAAATCCTATGTGTAGCACCTTTAAGCTGGTAATGTTGTTGTTTGTTACTAAACCACATATGATTAACTTTAGCCAGACCTCAGCACTGATTAAAGAGAGGTTAGCCTCTGAGGGAATGAATGATGTTGTATTGAATTGAATTGGATGTCCATATATCTAATTGTTGCAGTACTCTGCTCTGGTCTCTCGTTGGGCAATTGGACAAGCAGCATTTCAAATTCTTTATTTGATCAGAGTGTTTGACCCTGTTGTCTGTATCTCCTAGATATATGTTCTAATGCTCTTGTAAGTCTTCTAATTCTATTTCTATGGAATCTCCTGTTCTGATTCTATTTCTATGGAATCTCCTGTTCTAATTCTATTTCTATGGAATCCCCTGTTCTAATTCAATTTCTATGGAATCTCCTGTTCTGATTCTATTTCCATGGAATCTCCTGTTCTGATTCTATTTCTATGGAATCTCCTGTTCTAATTCTACTTCTACGGAATCTCCTGTTCTGATTCTACTTCTATGGAATCTCCTGTTCTAATTCTATTTCTATGGAATCTCCTGTTCTGATTCTATTTCTATGGAATCTCCTGTTCTAATTCTACTTCTACGGAATCTCCTGTGCTAATTCTACTTCTACGGAATCTCCTGTTCTGATTCTATTTCCATGGAATCTCCTGTTCTAATCTATTTGCAAGGAATCTCCTGTTTCTGAATTCTATTCATGAATCTCTGTTCTGTCTATCTATTTCTAGGAATCTCCTGTTCTGATTCTTTTCTATGGAATCTCCTGTTCTGATTCTACTTCTACGGAATCTCCTGTTCTGATTCTATTTCTATGGAATCTCCTGTTCTAATTCTATTTCTATGGAATCTCCTGTTCTGATTCTATTTCTATGGAATCTCCTGTTCTAATTCTATTTCTATGGAATCTCCTGTTCTAATTCTATTTCTATGGAATCTCCTGTTCTGATTCTATTTCTATGGAATCTCCTGTTCTAATTCTATTCATGGAATCTCCTGTTCTAATTCTACTTTCTATGGAATCTCCTGTTCTGATTCTATTCTATGGAATCTCCTGTTCTAATTCTATTTCATGGAATCTCCTGTTCTATTCTATTTCTATGGAATCTCCTGTTCTATTCTATTCTAGGAATCTCCTGTCTAATTCTATTTCTATGGAATCTCCTGTTCTGAATCTATTTCCATGGAATCTCCTGTTCTAATTATATTTCTAGGAATCTCCTGTTCTGATTCTATTTCTATGGAATCTCCTGTTCTAATTCTATTTCTATGGGAATCTCCTGTTCTAATTATATTTCTATGGAATCTCCTGTTCTAATTATATTTCCATGGAATCTCCTGTTCTAATTCTTTTTCTATGGAATCTCCTGTTCTGATTCTATTTCTATGGAATCTCCTGTTCTGATTCTATTTCTATGGAATCTCCTGTTCTAATTATATTTCCATGGAATCTCCTGTTCTAATTCTTTTTCTATGGAATCTCCTGTTCTGATTCTATTTCTATGGAATCTCCTGTTCTAATTATATTTCTATGGAATCTCCTGTTCTAATTCTATTTCTATGGAATCTCCTGTTCTAATTATATTTCTATGGAATCTCCTGTTCTAATTATATTTCCATGGAATCTCCTGTTCTAATTCTTTTTCTATGGAATCTCCTGTTCTGATTCTATTTCTATGGAATCTCCTGTTCTAATTATATTTCCATGGAATCTCCTGTTCTAATTATTTTTCTATGGAATATCCTGTTCTGATTCTATTTCTATGGAATCTCCTGTTCTAATTCTATTTCTATGGAATCTCCTTTCTAATTCTAATTCTATGGAATCTCCTGTTCTAATTCTAATTCTATGGAATCTCCTGTGTGTCTGTCTGAAGATTCCAAGCTGAATGGGGAGGCGGCCAACGCAGCTCTAGCCAACGAGGACTGTCCTCATATAGACCAGGCCATCTCGCCAGAGGAGATCTTCAGCCCCAGTGAGAGAGAACGGCCTTGTTGTCTCGTCACCACAGCTGCAGAACGGCCCAACCACACAGGGGGTAGAGACAGGAGGGGTACGTACACCTACAGTAACAGCCAAACACAGCCCAACCACACAGGGGGAGGAAGGAGGAGAGTTACGTACTGTAACAGCCAAACACAGGCCGCTGTCAAACGTGTTGCTTTCCCTACGACTTAATTTCTCATAATCATACATACAGTACACAATGTCAACCTGTGGTCCAACACGTGCATGTGCACATGCATTTGACGCACACACACACGCACGCACACACACACACGCACACACATACACACACACACACACGCATACACACCACACACACACACACACACACACACACACACACACACACACACACACACAGCCGCGGGAAGGTGTTTGGGGGTGGGGGTGCTGCACATTTTTTATAGGGGGTGGGCACAGAAATAACTAGTAAAGGCCCAGTGCACTACTTTATAATAAAATATATAATATAATATGCCATTTAGCATACGCTTTTATCCAAAGCGACTTACAGTCATGTGCGCATACATTTTTACGTATGGGTGGTCCCGGGGATCGAACCCACTACCCTGGCGTTACAAGCGCCGTGCTCTACCAATTGAGCTTTAAAATTGAGCTTTAAATGCATACATTTTTTTCTTAATATTTGGTACAATTCTGATTTATCAGGGTTCGCTACAGCACCCTCAGCACCCCTGCTTCTCGCGGCTATGCTGGTGACATCACTCACACACACACACACGCACCAGGAAACCTACACAAGGTTGTTATCCCAGCCTTTGCTCTACCCCCCCCCCCCCCCCCCCCACCCCACCCCACCCCACCCACCCCCCAACTGTCACATGTTATAGATCTGCATTCCTGGTTTGACCTCTCCTCCTAACAATAGACAGCGGTCACTTTACAAAGGTTTTGTCTTTCTTTTGAGCAACAAGGTTTTGAAACGTCTTTGTAGATGATATGTGTAGCTACTGTAGCTCTGAACTCCTTAGAACATGATGTGTCATTAAAGACGCCCTCCAGATCCAGCCAGTTCGGAAACTTTTCCCATTGAAAAACAATGTAGTAAATCAAGTAAAAAAATGAAGCATAACATTTTTTGGGAAAATAAATTTTGGAGCTTAACAGTTTTTTTTTTAAAGACTAATCTACGAAAGTCTGAGTTCTAAAAAATACTTCTGCCAAAAAAAATGAAGGTCAGGACATTAGTGGCCATTACTGGAGAGCCCATGACATCATCAGATTGAAACGGTGCAAAGGGACAAGTCCTTGCATCCCAAATGGTACCCTGTTCCCTTTACAGTGCACGACTGTTGATCAGGGCCCTAAAGTAACGCACTACGTATGGGATAGGGTGCCATTTGGGATGCAGAGAGAAATACTGTAAGAAGTAATCAGACATAATCCAATGATCCTTTCCCTTTTAAAGGTCAACTACCCCTTAGAACCAACTTCTCTGGTTTAAAACGGCCTATGTGGCATCGATATGAGTCAGAAACATTTATTCTAGTGTCAAAATGTACTACAAAGTGTAAATAGGATCATTTTGGTCATAAAGTCAGTCTTGTCTAAAACTACAGTATTGTATATAATCCTATAGTTCACACTGACTGAAACAGTATTGGATATAATCCTAATCTGTTCTGTAAGAACAACCCCATCTATAATATATATATATATATATATATATATATATATATATATATATATATATATATATACAGTAACAGTCAGAAATTTGGACACACCTGCTCATTCCAGGGTTTTTCTTAAAAAATAAATAAAAAAATCTACATTGTAGAATAATAGTGAAGACATCAAAACTATGAAATAACACATATGAAATCATGTAGTAACCAAAAAAAGTGTTAAACAGATCAAAATATATTTTATATTTGAGATTCTTCAAAGTAGCCACCCTTTACCTTGATGACAGCTTTGCACACTCTTGGCATTCTCTCAACCAGCTTCATGAGGAAGTCACCTGGAATGCATTTTAATTAACAGGTGTGCCTTGTTAAAAGTTCATTTGTGGAATTTCTTTCCTTCTTAACGAGTTTGAGCCAATCAGTTGTGATGTGACAAGGTAGGGGTTTTATACAGAAGATAGCCCTATTTGGTAAAAGACCAAGTCCATATTATGGCAAGAACAGCTCAAATAAACATAGAGAAACGACAGTCCATCATTACTTTAAGACATGAAGATCAGTCAATCCAGAACATTTCAAGAACTTTGAACGTTTCTTCAAGTGCAGTCGCAAAAACCATCAATCACTATAATGAAACTGGCTCTCATGAGGACCGCCACAGGGAAGGAAGACCCAGAGTTACCTTTGCTGCAGAGGATAAGTTCATTAGAGTTACCAGCCTCAGAAATTGCAGCCCAAATAAATGCTTCACAGAGTTCAAGTAACAGACACATCTCAACATCAACTATTCAGAGGGGACTGCGTGAATCAGGCCTTCATGGTCAAATTACTGCAAAGAAACCACTACTAAAGGACACCAATAATAAGAAGAGACTTGCTTGGGCCAAGAAACACGAGCAATGGACATTAGACCGGTGGAAATCTGTCCTTTGGTCTGATGAGTCCAAATTTGAGATTTTTGTGAGATGCAGAGTAGGTGAACGGATGATTTTCGCATGTATGGTTACCACCGTGAAGCATGGAGGAGGAGGTGTGATGGTGTGGGGGTTCTTTGCTGGTGACACTGTCAGTGATTTATTTATAATTCAAGGCACACTTAACCAGCATCGCTACCACAACATTCTGCAGCGATATGCCATCCCATCTGGTTTGGGCTTAGTGGGATAATCATTTGTTTTTCAACAGGACAATGTCCCAACACACCTCCAGGTTGTGTAAAGGCTATTTTACCAAGAAGGAGAGTGATGGAGTGCTGCATCAGATGACCTGGCTTCCACAATCCCCCGACCTCAACCCAATTGAGATGGTTTGGGATCAGTCGGTCGGCAGAGTGAAGGAAAAGCAGCCAACAAGTGCTCAGCATATGTGGGAACTCCTTCAAGACTGTTGGAAAAGCATTCCAAGTGAAGCTGGTTGAGAGAATGCCAAGAGTGTGCAAAGCTGTCATCAAGGCAAAGGGTGGCAATTTGAATAATCTCAAATATAAAATATATTTTGATTTGTTTAACACTTTTTTGGTTACTACATGATTCCATATGTGTTATTTCATAGTTTTGATGTCTTCACTATTATTCTACAATGTAAAAAAATTTGTAAAAATAAAGAAAAACCCTTGAATGAGTAGGTGTATATACAAATATATATACACACCATACATAATATACCTCCCATATTTTATACAAGGAAGACAACCAATTTGAGATGTTTTTATATGAAATACAATGTGCTTGTGAAAAAAGTGTTGATGTATGTTTTGTTTGTGTTTTACTGGCTGTATCATGTATGTTTGTTCTACTGATGCTAATCATGATGAACCCTGCTGATGATTAGGAATCTGCTGGTCATGAGCATTATGATGCATGCCCGTTCTTGCTGATGGGTGTAATTAGTGTGGTGATGGAGCACAACACTAATAGAGTATAGCTTACAAAGGCTTATGAAGTCCTATGGCTTTTGAAGTCCTATGTCTTATGAAGTCCTATGGCTTATGAAGTCATATGGCTTATGAAGTCCTATGGCTTATATGAAGTCCTATGTCTTATGAAGTCCTATGGCTTATGAAGTCCTATGTCTTATGAAGTCCTATGGCTTATGAAGTCCTATGGCTTATGAAGTCATATGGCTTATGAAGTCCTATGGCTTATATGAAGTCCTATGTCTTATGAAGTCCTATGGCTTATGAAGTCCTATGGCTTATGAAGTCATATGGCTTATGAAGTCCTATGGCTTAAATGAAGTCCTATGTCTTATGAAGTCCTATGGCTTATGAAGTCCTATGTCTTATGAAGTCCTATGGCTTATGAAGTCCTATGGCTTATGAAGTCCTATGGCTTATGAGGGGCTATGGCTTATGACGGGCTATGTGAAGGTGCCTCATGACAGAGTGAAATGAAAAGCCCAACCCTAAATTTGGAAAACAACAAACACTATAAACAATGATTATACTTCTAAATGTCTGTCTTTTTTTTTTTATCATTCATGACTACACCAACTCTATTCCAGTCTGTATTTTAACTGGTATCTACAAGCACAAAGCCATTGTTCTATTGGCGCTGGATCCAACAGTGACCTAACAAATCAATTGCCATCGATGCCTAATTTATGCAAAACCTCAAGTTGGCATTCAGTTTCTAGAGTTGGGGGATTCAGCCCTTGGCTCTTAGTTAAATGGAACACGGGACATAATCCCAAAGCCTACAGGGAGAATCGTAATAAAGTGTAGCAGACGGCCAACATATTCTCCAATATACTGCAGTTCACTGCCAACATATTCTCCAATATACTGTAGTTCACGGCCAACATATTCTCCAATATACTGTAGTTCACTGCCAACATATTCTCCAATATTCTGTAGTTCACTGCCAACATATTCTCCAATATTCTGTAGTTCACTGCCAACATATTCTCCAATATACTGTAGTTCACTGCCAACATATTCTCCAATATACTGTAGTTCACGGCCAACATATTCTCCAATATACTGTTGCAAAGTTCACTGCCAACATATTCTCCAAATACTGTAGTTCCCTGCCCACATATTCTCCAATATTTCTGTAGTTCACTGCCAAATTCCAATATTCTGTAGTTCACTGCCAACATATTCTCCAATATTCTGTAGTTCACGGCCAACATATTCTCCAATATACTGTAGTTCACTGCCAACATATTCTCCAATATACTGTAGTTCACTGCCAACATATTCTCCAATATTCTGTAGTTCACTGCCAACATATTCTCCAATATACTGTAGTTCACTGCCAACATATTCTCCAATATACTGTAGTTCACGTGCCAACATATTCTCCAATATACTGTAGTTCACTGCCAACATATTCTCCAATATACTGTAGTTCACTGCCAACATATTCTCCAATATACTGTAGTTCACTGCCAACATATTCTCCAATATATCTGTAGTTCACTGCCAACATATTCTCCAATATTCTGTAGTTCACTGCCAACATATTCTCCAATATACTGTAGTTCACTGCCAACATATTCTCCAATATATCTGTAGTTCAC